GCAGGGCGAGGGAGAAGGGAAGGTCAGGCAGGTCCCACAGGTGCTTGTGTTTTGTTTCTCTGTGTTGTACAGCCTGGAGCCAAGACGCCTTTCTGCTCGGGGAAGCTGAAGGCCAGAGAGCGCCCGGCCGAAGCCTTGGAGGCAGGAAGCGCGTAGGGGTGGCACCACGCGGGCCTTTGGTCAGCACAGATCCCCGGTCGGAACGCGTTGTCTCACAGCGGACTCAGGAACAGTGGTGGTGTTCGAGGCCCCGAGCTCCTGGGCGTGCCGGTGTGACGGTACGGTGTGTCGGACCTGGTGTTCCCGCGAGACGTGCCCCGCTTGGTGGCCAGAGAAGAGCTGGTGTGGATGTAGCTCGGTGCACACGTGTGTGTGTATGTGCGTGTGTGTGTAAATACATCCCAGCGTATACAGCGTACGTGTCGAGTCAGTCGTGTGGGGTCTGTCCTGTCCCTACCGAAGCTGCCTTGCGCACGCGAAGCCCGCACGGCGCAAATTGTCCCCTGCGCTGGCGACTTCGATGTCCTCTGGTCCCCGTGATGTCACGGGGGAGCTGGAGCAGCAGGGCCGACCCTGTATGGAAACGAAGCACCCCGGGAACACCGGAGCTGCAGCTGGTAGCGAGGGGGAGAGCAGACCCTGGTCTGGGGGGATCATCGGCGTTTTGGGGAAGGGGGGTTGTCTGCGGGGAACGGGCAGTGCCTCTGCGGTCGCTCTGCCCTGGCGTCGCTCGGAGCCGTCTGTGCCGAGGGCTCTGCGGGTCTGTTGAGCAGAAGATGGTTTGGATGCGAGCCAAACCCCGGGGCTGGTGATTGGATTTGTCCAGAAAGAGGGGATAAAAAGGTCGGAAAGTGGCTCAGAGGGGCTGCTGCTTGCTGAGGCGGGGGAACCGTAGAACCGTAGGATCCTAGAATGGTTTGGGTCGAAAGGGACCTCGAAGACCATCTGGTTCCAACTCCCTGCCATGAGCAGGGACATCTTCCACCACACCAGGATGCTCAGAGCTCCATGCAACCTGGCCTTGAGCCCTGCCAGGGAGGGGGTGTAATGGTATGGTATGGTACAGCGTGCCGGCCGGCAGAACCTCCCTGGGGCCAGGGGGGACCCGGGGGTGCGCGGTGCCCGATGCCTGGTTTCTGCCCACCGGC